AATACCTATTATCTTTTACGTCTTCCGTTTTTCTTAAATCCACTATTTCTATAACAAAACTTTCATAACTGCATGTTAACAACAAACATAATTCTCTATCGTCTAGTAAATGAAATGAAAAACTAATATTACATTATATTTTTATGCAGACAAATCTTTAAAGATTTTTAAGGTTCATATATGCGTATAATGAACTTTATAAGAAACATAAATGAATGATTGATACAATAAACCCTTTATAAAGTAGGTCATGTATGTAATATTCATAAAATGTAATATTAGCCTTTCATACAAAATTTTGGCTAAAGAAAAGAGGCTAAATTTGATTTTGTTTTTTTTTCTGTATAATAAATTACTTTACCCGCCAATGTAGGGCTTACTAAGATAAACCGTGATACATATGTTTCGTCCGGATATTGACAGCAGCTAATATTGTTTAAGAGAAGAAAATTTTCTTATATACCTTACAAAAAAAAAACAACATAGTTGTGATAATTACCATGGCCGTGCGCGCTTATGTAGCTTTTTATATTGATGTTATGAAATATGTCATACGACATACGATTTAAAGTTCGTGTTTAAATGACAGTGGTATTGCTGAGTTGGAGCCGTGCCGGAATCCTGCTCGTAAAGGAGTTCGATTACCTTAAAAGTACCTATGTTTTCAAGGTTTGCCTATACTTAAAGCCAATACCGTCCCAACATACATAGAAAGATACCAAGACTTAATTAAAGTCGTCTTAAAATTAACCAACACGTCTTATTTTCTCTATACGAAAGTAACAAGCGTATGCTGCCTTCAAAATATTTCCCTTGACATGAGCGACATCAAAGGAGTAGTCAAATTTTAAATAATTCAGCAACTGTGAAAAGCGAGTGTTCGTTTGCGAGCCAAGAAATAATGAAGCGCATTCCAGCGCTGTCTCTCTTAATGAGTTGTCAAACGTCTGAGCCCCGAGGCTTCGCAGTAAAAACGTAATTTGTATCTTATGTTTTTAATTGAAATTATGAACTGCTGGACCAATTGAAAATTGTTGATTAAGACTTGTTTATACTTACGATAACTACACTATAACTTTTTTCCGTCTCACATTTTTCTTACTTGGTGCTCAATATGTTAAGCTTTTACTACCTTACTTCTTACTTCTACCAAAATGGGTTTTAGAATTATTACGTCTGATAGCTTTCCTTTCTTGCTTTGTGTACCACAAATGTATCAAGATAAGAACAAATGTCATTTGGGTAATGATCGACTAAAGATTCCAATTATTTCACCTCGTTTAGGGTAGAAGAAGTGTATATGGTAAGTGGTACGGTTAAGTGTGACAAGCTAGAAAGCTAGTAAGCTTCTTTCCATTTTCCATTAGATGGACCATCAACTTGTTTGCCATCTCAAAAACATAAAAAGTAAAGAGTAACCGGTTTGAGAAGCTATAACGTAGCCATAGACTCCTTATGAAGTACTAAAAAAGAAAGGTTGTAGTGTAAATGCCAGTCCTTTTTAACGCGGTTTTTATTTCTGTAACCGTTTTGTTTTCTTGTTATGAGAAGGGTTTGTTGACATTCAGTGGGCATTTGTCGCATTGACATGGGTCGTAACTTCTTACACCAGATTTATACCTACACTTTATCCTTTTATTTTTAATGGTAACAATATTCAGTACTGAGGCGAACCCACAAAGGATTTCAAGGAACTAAATCACGAGGTTTTCTATTATATTCACACAGATTTTGTTCAACAAAAGATTTACGAACAGGAATACTGCCAAATGCTTGCCAACAAAATTCGCACCCTTCCGGCCAATCTGCAATATTTTAAACAAAAAAAAGAACAACCAAAAAGATTTGAATGTATTTGTATATTTATATGAACGAAATTATTTTATGATGAAAATTTGCAAGCGGATGCTAACGTAATAAATTTCATGCTCTCATAATTCTGTGGCATGATTTACAGGCTGATTTTCAGCGACACGGTTTCAGCGTTTTTGTACAATATGCCAATTAAACCTCACCCCGTACATTATTTGGCTGGAAGTTATTAAATTGAGACAATTATGACGATGTTTATATTGATTAAAATTATGATGAAAGCTTTTAAAATGTTATACGAGTGTTGTGTGATGTTAATTAAAGGCTTCATCGTCGAAACCTTGAAGTACTTTTGTATATTATTATGTTTATGTATAACACAGAATACAGATAATTTTATTCAGTTCTAAACGTTGTTATATCAACTTTTAATGAACTTCTCATTTCTTTGGTATTCAAGAGATATCGAACAGAAATATTAGTATTTACTACAAAAAGGAAACTGAACATTTCGGTTCTTGCTATCATCCACATGCCTGAGGCAAGTTAACTATGTAGGTATTTTAACATACCAAAGTCATCAGTTGGAACGAAACGAAACTTCAAAAAGCTTTGCAAATGAGGTCTCGAAGAAGAATAGTTTCAAGGAAATATTTTGCTCTGTCCCGCCTCTATTTCCTATATTTTCTATCGTACGCTTAAAGTTTAATGGTTTGTGCTGAAGATCGATTGCAGCGTCAATATATTTTTATTTTTGCACACAATTCTCAGTTCGTTTGCTCCCAACTGCGGTCGGAAGAGAGTAAACAAGTTGGGAATTTGAATCGCTGATATGTTCCCATTGTTACTTTACACAGTGTGCGCGCTCGATCGACTGTGAAAGTCAATCTTACGTTTCATGTGTAACGGTAACCTTTTTAAGTAAATTGTGTAAAAGTGAATATTGGTGTTGATAAAATCACGTTTTATCGGATAGGGTTGAAAATGCTTTCGGATTTTTTATGTTGATTTTTTATTCGAATGTGTATTTGGTTTTTGCTGTTTCGTTATTATGTAAAACGCGATACATTTGCTTGATTGTGTTTGTTGTTCCCTATAATGATGAAAAGCTTTGAATTTTTTTTATATTCCGTCAAATGACTATGACAATACAAATATTCTCATACATAATATCGAATTCTTTTCTGAATAAGCATTTGTCTTTCTAAACCTTCCACGCATGTTTTATTATGTCTATATGCTTGTCAAAGATGTCAATAAACTAAGCGATCTCCTTTAAAAATAATTAGGCAAAATAAAACTCACATTCAAATAGAATATTTATTTATATTGTATAAAGTATATTTTTAAATACAACAACGATTGTGAAAACAAAATGGAAGATATGAAGTGAATTCTAAAACTAATGGCATTTTCTAAGAACTACAAACTAGGATAGATAGAATCTAATTTAGGTTGAGTGTTCTACTGAATTGGAGAAGGGATTTGATACATAGTTTCATGTTAGCCTTAGAAACTATTTGGTGAATTATTTGAATGCTCTGCAAGGAATACTTTGTGGCTAGTTTCCTTAGTAACAGATTTAAGTCATACCCAAAATATAACATTGCGATGTTATGTGTGTGTTGTATATACCTTTAAACTGTCAAACATCGAGCGGTCACCGGTGACCGCAACCTATTGTTCTTTAATTGTGTCTATAAATACGGTACTCGACGAGTTAATTGGTTAAAAGCCCCGAATTGATAGACACAAAATAAAAAGAGGTGTGTGTAATTATGAAGTGTGAACATACATTAGTAATAATATAAATAAGTAGGTTCAAATAAACATCTTATTTAATTTAATTGAAAGATATTAAAACAAAAATTTCCGCACTCAGAAACATTTAATGGTTACTTAAACTAACTAAAAATTACGAGTTACTTACGTGAATATAGTGGTAAAAGTTCTACTAGTTTCGATTCAGCATGCCTTTCGTCAATTATTATAAAAACATTACTTACTACCTAAGTAACGATTTTATATCGTAAACGATTGTTAAAGACTGGGCTAAATAGCCATTAAATGACACTGAGTACGGCGGTTAGTTCTTTGTTTTCATTCACTTAAAAGCTAAAGTAATAGCAGAAACAAATCTCGACTAGACACAAAATATTTATTGCAGCCTCAGTAAAAAATACAAGCTCATTTATGTAAGTAGGTATCTCATATTTGTGTTATCAACTTCCTAAGAAAAAGTTCCCCGTGGGAAATTAAAATACTCAACCGCGTTAGACGATTTAATAATAAAAAGGCGTGTGTACAACCAGCCATTTTATTTATTGCAAAAAGGTGATGTTACAGTATATTTTTCTATTACATTTACGATTTTTAAGGACCTTTTCTCCGTTTCTTTGAATATAATTTGAAATGTATAACGCCTTGGTTTAATGGCTGTAGTGTTATACTATTTTAATTGAAATAAAAAAATAAAGCCTAGGATACACTAGGGGACAAATGTCCTGCGACACGTGTCGCTAGCGACGTCAGGTGGAGTAGCGCGATGTTGCCGGACTTTGGTCGACATGTCTGTTAACATCAACGTCACTTTGGACATTAGTTTTGCGTTGTCACTGTATAGGTCAAGCGACATCGACCAGTTTCGCCGATACATGTCGTGGGACAATTGACTCCTAGTGTATCCTTGACGTCGCGGAGAACCTAACGGGTAACCGGGGCTCCGGCTTGACGTGCAGGAGAAGGAACGGGGTGGTTTTTAGTCAGTAGGAGTCTGACACTCCCTTCCGCCTCACCAAGGCGGGAGCAGTCATTCGATGATTTTCCCCCCTTAAATAAAAAGTGTATCCTTGACATTAACATGTTACCTTTATTATGACTAAACTGTACCTAAGCAAGTTTTCCGAAATGATATTACACAATGTGTTTTGTTATCAAGATTATAGTTCTTTGATTAGAAAATATGTGTTAGTTGTTTCTTGTCTGTTGTTTGGTAATGAAGTAAACTTCATTAATAATACTGCTAACAGAATTATTTTTCTCAAAATCTGTAGAGGATGTTAGAAGAGAAGTTATTTCGTTTTCATGAAATTATCAGGTTAAAAAGAATGAAAGTCGAAAAAAAAGTAAGTGTCATAAAACTTTGTTTTAATTGTACCACGGATGAAAAGGGATACTTATTAAAAATATTAAGAATCAAATCTGCTAAATGTTTATTGGATATACGCCCTTACAAAACACGTGCTTGTTCGTTCGATTTTAATGCATAAATTAGTGTATTAAGGTGTAAAGTTGTAAATTTTGATGTTATTCATCCTTGCGGTCTTCGTTGTGTAGAAGTATGATGCTCTCACTGGGCGTAGGGGTGTCGAATATTGGTAGGTTTTCAACCTCACCTGGAATTTTATACAAAAAAATTGTTTTATTATTATGTTATTAGATACCAATTTCTTTAGAAGGGTTTCTTTTTTAACTTGAAGGTTAAAAGTATTACTATTACTAAATAATTTTAAACATGGGACATGGAATCAAAGTACCTACACTTTATAAATCTTGTTAAACAGAAAAGATTTATTGTAGTAGCCCAAATATTACATGAGTACCATTTTAAAAGAATTTGAATCTAAAATACTCACTGTAAGAGCGATGGTTAATTTATTTCGAATTGGGCGCTATTAGGTAGATATTCTGAATCGTCGTTTGATAACCACCATTTTTCTACAAAACGTTTTCCAATTGTTTAATACTTACGTTATTTTATACTAAATAAACGTACCTATATTATATACCAATTTAAAAACTATTATGTGGTGTAATTTCCTAATAATTATTCTAAAATATTTATAACTAGCAATAGTGGGCAAAGTACGTCTCGCCATAGCTTTATTTTAAAACGTAGATTAACGTTAAAAAAAAATTACCGGATCTCTAATACGTATATAAATACCACAATTGAATGTCCCACTTTGGTTTAGATTCCCTAGGTCAGGTAACAATGCAAAATAATTGTTCATTTAAGATTATTATTCTTGCAGATGTTCAAGCGTTTAATACATTCAGCGACGTGTAAACTTTTAATGGTTCATTGTAGTAAATGATTTCTAAATTGGACAATTCCGTTCTCTTATCAGAAATCATTCTTTGCCTTGACTTAATAATAAATGTCTAAGTATTATAGACATTGGTTAAATCGTCAAGACCGGTTAGTAGAGATCTTTATAGTGCATGAGTTATTCGCCATTAAATGTTATTAATATCATTGTAATTTTAGGTATAAATTACTAAGCACAATGCCTAATACTGTACCCACATAATGGTTTTGAATATTTTAGCAAAACCATAGACTTTGTTAGGCGGTCAAAATTAGTATTGCTACCAGTTAGTTTCCTTACCAATTCTGACGATAAAGTTGACGGATTCGTCCTCGTCTAGCATAGAGAACACATTTTCTACGGGAATGTACACGTTTTGGGTGTGCTCCAGGAAGTCTGCATCCTTCTCACACTTGCATGGTCGTCTGGAAAAGTATAAAGACTTCAATATTAATCTAATTGTACCGGTTAGTGTTGGTTCTAAGCTTAATATCTCTTTAGTTGTATAGGATTGCAGTTCCATCAGATTATCAGATGACGTGATGCAATTGAGAACATATTATTGTAGTACAAGGCTGAAATTGTATTGGGCCATTGCTATTTCATTTCATTTCATTTATTCAATAAACAATTTACATTGTATCTGAATGTCTCCATACATTATCATAAATCATAATCATAAATTACATTGCAATTTAATCCATACAGCATGGATCAGTCATATTACTCAAAAACAAAAAATAAAATCAACAGAACAATTTAAATAATAATAAAATGCGAAATAATCAAATATAACATGATAAAAATCCAATTTAGAAAGAAGTTACATAATTGGGTACTTTTCAAGATAAGACTAGATCAATTTTAAATTTTTCCGCAATTAAATGATTGAATTAAAATAAATGTCAACAAAACACTGCAATACTACATTAAATCATTGAATTAAAACACATGTCAAGAAAACACTTCGATAACACATTAAATTATTGAATTATAACACATGTCAACAGAAACACTTTACTAATACATTAAATAATTGAATTAAAATACATGTCAACAGTAACACTACACTAATACATTAAATAATTGAATTAAAATACATGTCAACAGTAACACTACACTAATACATTAAACAATTGAATTAAAATACATGTCAACAGTAACACTACACTAATACATTAAACAATTGAATTAAAATACATGTCAACAGTAACACTACACTAATACATTAAACAATTGAATTAAAATACATGTCAACAGTAACACTACACTAATACATTAAATAATTGAATTAAAATACATGTCAACAGTAACACTACACTAATACATTAAACAATTGAATTAAAATACATGTCAACAACAACACTGCAATAACACTATTACAGTTCGTAATGAGTACAGACAATTGTCCAACAGGAAATGCTTTATTGATTTAATACATGTCAACAGTAACACTACACTAATACATTAAATAATTGAATTAAAATACATGTCAACAGTAACACTACACTAATACATTAAACAATTGAATTAAAATACATGTCAACAGTAACACTACACTAATACATTAAACAATTGAATTAAAATACATGTCAACAACAACACTGCAATAACACTATTACAGTTCGTCAATTGAGTACAGACACTTGTCCAACAGGAAATGCTTTAGTTGGGATTTAAAGGAACTCGTGTAAATGGCGCTCTTTAAATTTTCTGGTAGCTTATTGAACAGTTTTACTGCTTGGTACCGCAAACCGTGCCTAACCACATTTAACCGAGGACATACTGCTTGAGCGAGATCTTTTCTACGAGTGCCCTCCCTGATAACTCTATCTTCTGCATTTTCAAATTCGTGAATATGTTTGGCTAGCGTAGTTAAAGCTACCAAAACATAAATAGCGGGGACCGTCAGGATCTCCAGCTTCGTAAAATACTGTCTGCAGCTCTCTGTTTGAGGTATACGTACTATTGTTCTTATGGCCCGCTTCTGTAGGGTGAATGCTCTGCAAATGTTGTACTGAAAACTGTTTCCCCAATGTTGTATGCTGTATCGAAGTCGAGATTCGACCAACGCCAGATACACCATTTTAAGTTGTTCGATGCCAATTTCGCTTCTAAGCGCTCTCAAGGCGTAGCATGCGGATGATATTGCTGCGTCCATTGCTTTCAGTTCAGGTTTCCAGTTTAGATGCTCATCAATGTGTATACCTAATATTTTCGCTTCTTTGGCTAGTTCTAACTTTTCGTTATTTAGAGTGATTGCCAAACAGTCATTGTCGCGGGCAGTGTTCTAAACAACATCAGTTTTGTTTTTGCAGAGTTGATCATCAATTTGTTTGCCGCAAACCACGCATCAAAAGATACCAGTGCTTCCTTAACTATGTCAGAAAGAGACTCCAAGTCGCTTGCACCCACCACAGCATTAGTATCATCAGCGAAAACCACTATACTTAGTATTGGCAATAAGGTATTTATATAACTGATTAGGTCGTTTGTAAACAGAATAAAAAGGATCGGACCCAGAATGGATCCCTGCGGTACACCTGTCTTTACAGAGGTCAGTCCCGATCTATATACAGTGAATTTACCTAAATCATCAATACTGCTTACTTCAACAAAGCTTTTCCTGTTTTTTAGGTATGATGACATCAGTTTTAGCGTTTTTCCTCTTATTCCGTAGTGATGCATCTTAGTCAAAAGCAGGTCGTGGTCAATTGTGTCGAAAGCAGAAGACAAATCCAGAAACAAACCTGCCACCTTCATTTTGCTGTTTAATCTGTGTAGAATATCATCTACAAATGTATATATCGCATCTGAAGTACCGACACCCTTTTGATATCCAAATTGTCTTCGATTAATTATCTTATTTCTGTTCAAGTGAAGAAGTAGTCGTGTTTTATAATTTTTTCAAATATTTTTGAAATAGCTGGTAACAGAGAAATAGGCCTATAATTTTTTGGATCAGTTTTACATCCTTTCTTGTATATAGGTATAATTTTAGCGATCTTCAATTGTTCCGGGAAAACAGAAGCTTCTATACACCTATTGAAGAAGTCTGATAGTGGTCCAGCCAGTATCCTGATGTGTTCCTTTAAGACTAATGTTGGCATCTCATCATATCCACACGACATTTTACATTCTATCTCTTTAACGCAATCGAATACTTCCTTTGGTGTAACAGGAGACATCGTCATATCACTATTTACTCTCTCGGTGAATTCCTTTAAGTATCTTATTGCATGAGACGCTTCGTACCTCTCTGAACAATGTATATGATCGAATTGTTTGGCTAGGATATTGCAAATTTCCGTATAGTCGTTCGTTATTTTACCATCTACTTTCAGTTTCAACTGTGATGAAGACGTCTTCACCTTACTAGTACAATCTTTGACAATCTTCCATATTTCTTTACTTTTGTTTCTAGCATTATTTATTTTGGTACTGACCGCAAGTCTTTTAGCCTTAGTAATTACTTGTTTGTAAATTCGAACATAATTCTGTTTGTAGTTACAAATACTTCGATCTAGGTCATTACGACTTCCAGAGCACAAGAAACGCTTCATTTTACTTGACACTCTAAGACCTCTTGTAATCCATTGTATTCCAGTATTTTTCTTTGCTGCGATTTTACACTTTGTTTTCTTGTAACACTTTCGGAATGCTTTTGTAAAAGTTTTTAAGAACGAGTTTATTCCCATATTACTCCAATCTGTCAACAAAATATGATCCTGGAATTGCCTAGAGTTTCTGGAGTTGAATTTTCTTTTATTACTTACAATGTAATTTTCTTTCTTGTGCGAAGGAGTGTTAATTTTCTCGAGGCAAATATCACAAAACAATCCGCCATGGCCATCAGCTAAGCCATTATGATCCACCTCACAACTCAGTACGTTATCCTCAGGTAAATTGGTCAAGAAATTATCAATACAAGATTCAGATTTATTGCGCATAAAAGTTACAGTATTTATAAGAGGGCGGAAGTTATAACACGTAAGCAAGCTTCGAAAATCGTTACTTTTTTTGTTATTAACCAACAAATCAATGTTAAAATCCCCACATATTACACTTTTCCTATTAAACAAGTAATCCAGTAATATTTCTTTTTTCCATAAATTCATCGATGTTTTTATCATTCGGATTACGATAACAACAACACAAAAACAAACCCGTGGTACAGTCCTTCAGACAACATATTTCAAATACTTCCATTTTATACAATTTATTGATTACATCAACACTTTCGGTATTTCTATTTACATGGGCTAAGATTAATGATCCTCCTCTTTTCTTATTTTTCCTAGTATTATACGATATTAACCTATAATTATTTAAGTGGAATATGTTCGTCAATTCCTCATTTAGGAAATGTTCACTTATGCAAATAAACGTCATTTCTTTATCCAAAGTATTTACATATAATTCCAGTTGATTTTTCTTGTTATTTATACCACAAACATTTTGATGAAATATGCTAATTAGTGAGCCTTGTCTAGAATCCACGTTAACATCATTCAATGATTTATGCTCGAAAAAACTCAGTTTGCTGCAAAGTATCATCAGTTTGCGTAAAACTGTCAGTCCTACATACTGTCTGATTTGAGTATTCGTTAACACTAAGTCGGTCATTTTTTTCTTATATGATACATTGCAATAATTAAATACTATTTATGTAGCAAGTTTGCAGTATTTGCCTATGTATAAGTCTTGCAGCATATAATTTATTTACATGTTTTGGTGTGCTATCAAAATTGTTGTCTAGAATGACAAAGCTGGCATTATCAAAGAGACCACACGTGAGTCTTAACAAGTTATTTAGCAAGTTGACATTAAGATAATTGTTTACATACACTTTACCTAACAGAACATTAGTGGTTTTTAGTTGCCATATTGTGTGATACAGAAAAGATTGTACGTGTACGGGGCTCTTGTCGTTTACTCCAACCAGTAATAGAACAAAATCATCTTTGGAAAAGTCCTTACACATGGATGTACAAGAAGTTAGTACCTCGTCGATCGGAGCATCCGGTTTTATTACCGAAGTGACAGCAAATTCTGGTCCCAGGTAGTATTGTAGCATTTTTCTCATACCAAAACCCGATTGGTCGGCGAAGATCATGAGTCTTCGGCGTTTTGGTGGATATTTGTTCACTATTTTAGCATTCCCTCGACCGAGCATGGTATCACTATTCGTTGGAATTGCGGTGGAAAAATGTGTAGGCGCTTCCTGTGTAGTAGTTGTTTGTCGATTTCTTATCTCTGATGTACTTAAGTTGTGCATTCGATAATCAGTGCTGTTTCCCGCGCTTACGCTATGCATGTCATTTATAGTGGAGTTTAGAGATAAGCTACATAACTCTCCCGCATTGTATATGACTTTGTCGCATGATAAGACAGAAGTCCGAGGAGTAGTTACAATCATTTGTAGCCTTCTGTTTTTCGTAGTGCAGGGTGTTTTATAGTTGATGCTAGATGGGGATCGAGTCGGGCTACCCAGAGATATTTTCTTAAGTAGACTTATGGTCACTGATTGTTGCTCCGTAAATGTTCTTAATTTAGTGTTCTCGTAATTTAAGTTTGTGATTTCTTCGTGGGCAGATTCTAACTGTCTCTTCAGGTCCTGAATTTGTGATCGTAATTCTGATGAGTCATCCTCATGTTGTTCCAGAAGTAAACTTCTGGTGGTACAATTCATTGAAGAGTTATTATTTGACTCGTCATCCGATAAATTCTCCCTATCATTTTCAGAGTTAGATCTGCCGTTTCTTGTACGAAGTGTGATATTATCCATTTTTTTTTTTCGTATTAAGTTATTATAATTTTAATATTTCAACTAAAATTATCGTCGAAATATGTTCTAAACAGCCAAACAATTTCGAAGAAAATCATTCAAAAAGTACCTTGTGTGACCACTGGGGTTTGATCTCATGCTCATTCACGTCAAAGTCAAGCCAAAATATGTTGTGCTATGTAAACATAACACAAAGTGACAGACGTATGTCTCGTCGTTAGATTTTTTATTTTAAGAAAGAAGGTAATAATGTCTATAATTTATGCAGAGAAAAAAATTTTTGCATTCGAACACACAGCACTCAATTATTGTTTTACAGAGATTTAAATTCTTTCTGGCCAAAATTGTCACTTCACTTCGTCGTTAACTTGTGGTTTACAGGGCTTTATTATGGAGAATATACTTATTTTCTTTTGGATGATTTGTTTATATCGCTATTTTTTAGTTTTTATTTCCTGATTAGGTCCGTCACAAATTTCACTGGATAACACTGTCGCATAAACTTTAAGGGTTATTACACAGTTTTACGTGGTACTGATACTGTAAAAGTGTTTTTAACTATTTTTCGTAAATAAAACAACACGGACTCGAGGTTACTGCGACGGCCAGCGCCATCTATCTCCGCTAGCTTGCTATCTCTACTCTCTCTCTATCTCTGCTAGCTTCTAGCCTACCATTATTACCTCTGGTTCGACTGATAGAGCTTGTGGCATCCAGTCCATCGAAAATCAAAACGTGTGCAAATTCATAATTCCCAAAAGACTGGTAACAACAGGTGTCCATAGGCGACGCCGATTGCTTACTATCAGGTGATCTATCTGCTTGTTTACCGGCTTAAACCCATAAAAAACACATTAAAGGAAATAAATTCGAAACCGAAACTAGATCGATTGATCATATTTTGTGCAACCCTCATTTGGAACTAACTACTCGATTAACAACCGAGTCTATATGCCATCCATGTAACATTGTTTTAACACAGACACATCTCAATATAATTAGTGAACTAAACAACGGATGCTTCAATGTTAATGCGAATATAACACTTGAAATAACCAACATAAATGTTTACGATTGCATTTGTACACAAACAGCAACTGTTCCGGAACAATTATCCTTTGGCAATATAAATAATTGTTCTGCACTGGAACTAATGGGGAGTATATTCACGTGTATACTCCGTTTCTGGCTGGCATCAAACAGATTGCAATTATTGGTTCTAATTCTATTTCCAGCCTTGGAGATCTGGAGATTTCTGGAACATTCTACATATATCGTCTGAGAATAAATTTTGGTTTAACGTGTAACCATATAAGGCTGGTTTTGTTGCAATTATAAATGTGGTTTTTAAAACTTTATCTTGAAAGTGAAAAATATAAACGTTAGAAAATCTTTAACCCCTTATGTCTATGTATCAACTAATAATGTCAATATCGAACATGGTTATTTTCTGGCATAGGTACTGTAAAGTCATGAGTAGTGTAAAATAACCCTTTTTATTTATCACAGTAAAAATTATCTCAGAAAATCTCATAAGGCATAACAGAAAAAATATGTATTTTTTTATTCGACCTACGCTGAACATAAGAGAAATGCCTTAATGTTTTATGTACTCACAGACAAAGCGATTTATAATACTTGTAAGTAACATTTTTCTACAAAAGATCTTATTTATGCCGCTTGTACGGTAATCTAACAAATTGTTTTGAGTGAAAAGACGAATATTTTCAAAGCTTCTGTTCTGGGATTTTTTCTTACAAGCATTTTGTTATTTAGAAGTATTGTTGAGAAATATCTAGCAGCCTTGCCATAAGACTTAAAAATCTATCATTCTAAGGACGTCAGTATACAAATTGGTAGACACATAGTTTGGAGACACAGTCACTAACCTGTAAACAATCCTTTTGCTCGGTAAGTTTGGTAAGAAAATGTCGACTTCAAAATAAAACTTCTCAGCATGGTCGTCATTTACAAGCACAGTCCACATCATTCTCCCTGAAATATAACGTAACAAAGTTATTCCAAAGTCTAGATTCTACAAATCCTAAGGCCTTTCCACAAGAATGGCGCGACGCACCACACTCTGTTTGAACGCCTAATACGAGTATCTTGTCATACTTTTCATAATTTAAACTGTTAAACACCAAGCGGTCACCGGTGACCGCAACCTATTTGTTCTTTAATTGTGTCTATAAATACGGTACTGGACGAGTTAATCAATAAACACCATTTTGATCAATAATGTTGAGAGTTCTACATAGCTAATCCACTGTTTGATTTTGCATTCATTTTGGGAGTCTTCCTATCCAAAAAATAATAATGGTGCAATTGAATAGTTTCCTTATTATGTTTACTAGACACTTTTCATGCCTCTGAGAGTCTGAGGTGGAGACCTACAGAGGCATTCATTAACTATGATAACCGTTCCTCACATTTTACAAAGTAAACTAGACACCAGACACAATTGGAATAAAATTATTTTAAGTAGTGTATATGGAAAGTAGTTTGCCTGTGATTAAACATATTTTATGCGAGGTAATTTGTCTGGACATTTTTAAATTTTTTTATTTGTACTTACTTTTAGTTTTTGTAACCTATTTTTTTTATTTTACGTGTGGATTCATTTTGTGGTAAGTGCTGTGTTGACCACATTTCTTTACAGTTTTAAATTTATTTTTAATAAGTTGTCATTAGCTGTCAGTTTCACACACAATTTTTCACTTACTGTTTTGTTAGTCCAAAGTTGTTAAATAAATAAAAAATGTACACCGATAGTACCTTTCTTAGCAACAGACATTAAATAGCCTAGCTCCTTGAGTCTTCATCAAGCATTTTACAGAGTGTAAAAATACGAGAAGTATTGCATATTCTCAGTTACAAAGAAACGAAAACAGAAAACGTCTGGCTTCGCAAAGTACGGCGACAATCGTTGAAAAAACAGCTTAGTTTAATTGTGTCTGGAATTACGGATTGCTGTGTCTCGACTGCTGTCTTTCCTGGTATTCAGAATACGATAAAATGTATTTTTCCATGTTATTGGCTTTTTACGAAGTTGTGTAATTATATTTTTATGGGATTTTTCCGGAATCACGACAGGTATTAGATATTTTATTGTATCTATACCAGTATCAATAAATTGTATTTGAGTACTCAAAAGGATTCCTAAACTTTCCATACTTTTGAAGTTCTGTAAATATTTTTACATCGGTACGGGATTATTCTACTTTCCGTTATGAAAATCACAATCCTTATCATTGTTTGTTCCTAATACAGTATTACACCTTATTCCCGCTTTTTCTAATCTATAAAATGTTTATTTAGTTGACAATGGTACGATTAAAATCTCAATAAAATATTTTAATTTCTATTTACTCAATTTCAGTAGGGAGATTATCAGACGTCTTGTTATTGTTGAAGGTTGCCATGTCTAATAATCTTCCTACTGTGATGTTCGTTGAATATTGTACTGTATTCCTCTGTAATACAGTCCAAGGATTCTATATATACATATTCTGTCAAGTAGGGACCTATATATAGTGAACATATGAGTATCTAGATCAGTTTATACAAACGGATGGAAGTGATTTCCACTGACCCACTTCGATTGTTCCAGATAACTTGATTGGCAATAGTTATCTTGATAACACATATGTTATACATGTTTATCAATCAATTACGCATTTGCGGCATTTATGTTACGACTAATTTAATTATCGACTGCTTTGTTTGTTGAGTACGTAATCATAAGTGTGCTTGCTGAATATAAGCATTATTTTGTGATATAAGTTATCCATGTGCTGGTGAGCACTGATTAGAGCACGTTTTGTAACTACCCTTACTTGTCTTACGGATGTCGAAAGAGCCGATTAACCCATTGTATGTCGGAATGCAGATCTACGCGAGACACAAAGTGTTTTCTATTGTGTCTCATATATATTGACAGACAAGAAGTTAAGGGACTATAGGCAGTAGCGCTCTCTATCAAACTGCGATCTCCAGCCCCCCATGTGAAGCGTGGTGATTATCACCAATTTATGAGAAATCTCTCTTACGTAGAGGAGGCACATGGTAATCTAACAGTCTACTTGTATGACGTTAAAAACATAAAAAATAGGAGCCAAACAGTAGCGTGAGCATGGTTGATGCTATCGGTGGTTAGGGCTCCAGAGACAGAAACCTCCTCATGATGCGCGCCGTTTCAAGTAGCCTTCTAGAGGTATATTAACCCATCCACCTAACGCCAGCCTCCCAGGCTGTTAGGAATTCCCATTAGCCGACACGACTATCGGCAATGAATTTTTTTTATGCATAAGCCGCTAAACGAGCTGACGGATCACCTGATGGTAAGCAATCGGTGCCGCCCATGGACACTCGAAACACCAAGGCGTTACAAGTGCGTTATGGGCTTTTTGGGAAGTTGAGGATTGAGGAGGATTCGGGGATGATACCCGAATTCATTGTGTATTGTTATTATACTATTATCCATAAGAAATACACAAAGAGCTACCACTAATACAAGATTATGGAATTCTTTCCCACCACGTAATCGAGTTATTAACAGTTCACTTCAGAATTCAGGTCAACGATCAACTTTGTTGAGGGAAGCCCCACCATAGACGGTTAAAATGCCGTGAATATTGTATCACCGTTCTTTTAAATTGTTATGACTTTATCAAGGCTTTGAAAAATAATTTGGATTTTTGAACTGATTTTTCCTTTTTCCGATATGACGGATTTCTTTTTTCATAATATCCCCCATCCTTGGGAATGTCTTTTGTAAATAAAGACTAAATGCTATTGAAAAGTTTGGTTTCTGAAATACCATGATTGTTTTATGCCCTGTATTACGTGTTTTTTGGCCTATAACTACCTGCACACGTATATCCCGTAAGCTAACATGTCGACTATCCCTTAAAATTTAACATAAAACGTTGAACCAAATCTTTGTAAAATTAATCTTATCCGTACCTCCTCTCTTATCATAAATCTGGTACACGTTGAATATCCGTTCGTAACACTTCAGCAGAAAGTAGTTGAGCACCGGTTCTGTCCTCTTCGCGTCCCATCGGTTTTTCACCGTGATGAATGGGAGCTCCGTGACCTTCTCACTATGTTCCATGAAACAATGGTCCATCCAGTCGCCAGCGCGACCTTTCCATTTGCAGTCCCCTGGAATTGCGAAATTTTAAGCAAAAAGAAAAAAGCATTCCTATTGTAAATTTTGGGATCAGTTGTGTCAGTTTTAGTGGATTTTGAAAGAGGTGAATTGTGTCATTGTGAACCTTTGTTTGGAATGAATTGGCGGTTTGATTGTTGCTCCCTTTCAAATGCTTTTTTTTGGTACTGGGATTTAGAGAGAGGATGTTTGCTTTTAATATCTCTATTTTTGAGAATTGCGTTCTCGAAAATTGCGTCAAATGCATACAAGTATGCAATAGTTGAGAAGTTTAATGAAAGAATATGAGAATGAGGAGTTATAACTGCTGACAAAAAGTAATATACGAAGCTTCAGAAAAAGACAGAAACTTAATGACCGATGAATGAAATAGTACTCAGTTTGCATTCACGGCACGAAGTATTTGGAACTCATGTCACTAACGTATATACGTATTTTCGCGAAGTTTTTCCTCAAACAAAAACTGTATTATACGTTGAGTGGAGGTGAATAAAATGTTCGTGTTTATGACACGGGGTTGGCAACCCTGAGTGTGTGAGTGCGAGATGGAGGACATTTTCGTCTTCATAAAAACATATTTAAATAACTTTTTTATTTTGGACAATGAATGTGAGAAAAACTTTAAAATTTCTTTCGGATTTTACATTGTTGTTGTAGGTAAATTTAGAAGTGTATCTTTGTTTGATGAGAAGGCAAAAAACGATGTGGTTGGATTTGAATTTCATTTTTATTATGGTCATTCTTCACCACGCATTACCTATTCTTACAAATCTCCTCTCTATAAACGATATATATCTATATTTCAGTTGATAAAATAACTGCACCTGGGGTTAGGCGTAAGAAGCAGGTGTTAAGAACCTTTAAAGTCTTTTTAACCGTAATATGAATTGGTTCTAATATACCTAATTCGTTATTTGGGAGTTTTCTTTCAGTAAATAGCCGTATCCAATTTAAATCTATGAAAATATATCACAAAACAACTAACGACTTTGTTTTAAAAATAAACATTCACGTAATGAATTTTCTGAGTTATTTTTGTACGAGTGAAATACATTCAACGAAAGGTTTAGTTTTAAAAAGTTTCATAAACATTCTAGAACAAGGTATGTAATTAAATCTATGTAGAAGGTATGTAGTCAAGGTATGCAACTAAACTAAAAGTTCATTACTAAATTTGAACTTAAAATAAATATTCCTTTTTTGTTCGTACAGTTGCGTTGCCCCAGCTACATACGTCTATAGCAATTCGATACTGAACTAAACTGAGTACTTGACCAACTGAATTAGATTTATGAATAGATGACAACAAACAATGCTTTTATATACTCACCGCTTTCTTTGTGTAAATTAAACTATGCATTTCTCAATTTTCCAAAGTCAAACTCAAAGTCAAAATCATTTATTTCAATTAGACCAGAAAGGCACTTTTGAAGGCCAAAATAAAATATTGCAATATTAAAAAAATGACAATCTGTCGGTCAATCCTAACATACTTTTTTACACGTATGTATGTATATGTAATGTTATGTATCTACCTATGTGTAAAAAATGTCAGCCTGTCGGTCAGTCCTCAAGTGAAGCTATTTGCTGCTTACTTGCCCAGCTGATGTATATGCCAAATTTCAAGAAAATCGATTAAAAATATAAAACGTAAAGAGGTATAAACAAACTTTTGCATTTATAATGTTAGTTGGGATCACTTAACAACTAACACAATATGACGTGACAGCGGCAACACAGCTACATGTACGTGTAAATATATTCATACATCAATAACAATAAACAAACAGCAGTAACACTTACCATATACTCGAGCCATGAAGCAGTTGATGATGCGAAACTGACAGTGGGCGTAATGCTTGTCCAGTTGTGATAGGACGGCATGTTTGGGGCAGCCAGCATTTATGCATGGAAACAGGACCTTGTTCGCCAACGATTCGAGAGCTGATGAGCGGGTTTGTGAGAATTCTTTCTGTAAATAAAGGTGTTGTTATAATAATAATAATCTTATACTATTACTAGCGGACCCGACAGACGTTGTCCTGCATATAATATAATAATAGGTATAATGAAATAACCCAAAAATCGACTGCAGCGCCATCTGCCGGGCTGATTTGTGAATCTAAACCATTCCCAGATCCCCTTGAACACACACAAAAAATTTCATCAAAATCGGTCCAGTCGTTTGAGAGAAGTTCAGTGACATACGCACTCACATAAGAATTATATATACAAAGATATAAAAGCTGACAAGTTTGTTTGTTTGTTTGTTTGTTCAAACGCGCTTATCTCAGGAACTACCGGTCCGATTTGAAAAATTATTTTTGAGTTAAATAGCCCATTTATCGAGGAAGGCTATAGGTTATAAAATTTGCTACGATCACCGAGCAGAGCGGGGGACGTCGCGGAAGTGTAGCTAGTTATACATATTTTTATTGTCTAGTAGGTATACAAATCTATCGGCGTCATTCACTTGTATTTTTTAATCAAATTCAGTACACTCTTGATCCTGTCATAATTATTTTACTTTGACATCTCTAAGTCGATTATGGACACTATTCATTTATTTTTTGTCCTATTTGCAATAAATGGCAAAAAGATGAGATTATCAATTACTTAGAATATTATAGATTAGTGATGAATTATCATGATTTAGTTTTAATCAATCTATTTTTACTACATTTGTACTAAGTGATGATAGATCTATCGTTATAGATTCCTAGAGAAAACAAAGATGTAATATTTCAAAAGCTTTCGTATACCCATATGAGTATCTATCGACGATTCCAGTTAGCCAATGTTCTACATTTTTATTTTGCTAGAACGTTCGGTGGAAAACCGTTACATTCTATAATTTGTCGGTTCCAGTTACTGGGGGTTCGCTGTCGGTTTGTGGAGTTTGTGCCTCGGAATCCAAAGGGATTAGTTGGACTGTTCCAACAGCAACGTCAGCCCCATACGCAAAGGTTGATGAAAGACTTTGCAAATTGAAAAATTGTTCTTTTTCCAGCTCTTGTTGGTATTGGAACGTGGTTTTAGTTCTAGTATTTTGTCAATTCAACATAGGTACTATGTAGTATAGTGCAAGCATGATTATTATTCACTATGCCTGCAAACTCCAGTACAATTAATATAATATTTTGTTGTATCCTTACTATTATTAGAATCTTAGATTATGTCAAGGTAGTCTCATAAAACATGTATTTATTTCTTTGTTATACCATACAACTAACAATGGAATTGTGGACGATCTTATCATATAAGACGTTCTACGACGGCCACAATAATTCAGCATGTAGGTAAAAGAATCAAAAATTTGTAACATAACATAACATCACGTCTTTTATCCCCGAAGGGGTAGGCAGAGGTGCACATTATGCCACTGTACAATGTAACACCCACTTTTCACTAATAGGGGGTGAGCCTATTGCCATATACCGGACACAGTTCCAGACTCCGTGCTACTACTGAGAATTAAAAACCCAGTAATACTTTGCCCGACCTGGGAATCGAACCCGACACCACGCGACCACTCGGCCAACGAGGCAGTTAAACATTTATAGCAACTCTAAAATTCAAATAATAGAAGTATGTACATATATTAATATTCGAAGCATTCTCGTAAGATAACAAGAGACATTATTAACAAAAATAAATCATATATACATATTTTATCAGTACCAATATCGAAAGCTGACATTTAATACATAATCTACTTTAAAGAACTTATGTAACTATTTTAGTATTAGAGTTATTTTAATTTTATAACTATTGTGCTGAAAATAACCGAGTATTAATGAATTATAAAATGTGAAGCATTTTGATAAGCTTCGTCTGATTAAATACTTCACATTTTATCAGAATAGCGAGATATTTTAATGCAAAGCTTTGTTGACGTGGAAGAATGCCATGGACATCGATAAAGCAGTTTTCGGATTACTTTTTTAGAACGCTAAATAATATTCTAAACCTAAAAAGATATATAATAATCGTGAATGCTAATCTGGTTAAACCTCTATCGAAAATTATTTAAGATCTTTGGTTATTGGTGAGTGTCTGGCTGACATCATACAGCTCCTCATTTTCCAGCATCTAGCATTTTTTGAGAAATGTCCGCACTAAGATATTATTTCGACTGACTGCCTCGTTGGCCGAGTGGTCGTAAGTGCGACTGCCGGTCAAGGGATCTCAGGTTCAATATTATTGGGATTTAAAAAAAATCTTTGTAGTAGCACGGAGTCTGTATAACAATAGGCTCACTTCCTATTACATGGGAATGATAACATACATAGTGAAAGTGGGTGTTACTTCTGTGTGCACCTCTGCCTACTCCTTGTGTGAGCTAGGTTTTCCCGGGAACCCTAAGAAAATGTGAAACGCCAATATTCTTTTGACGTGAAAAGTACTACCCATATTTTTTAAAATAAAATATATATATAATGTGTAAATAAAAAGCTATCTCGATATTTTTGATTTTAAGTTAAACGAACTTTGTTATTTTACATATTTATTGCATTCTGTGGAGTTATTAAAACAAAAAAGGTACACTGAAAATATGAGTTCGACAGTCGAAAAGTGAACCGAACGTATTTTAATTAAAAAACTGTCTGCGAATGGATGTATTTTTCTTTGAGTTCAATGTTCTAGGAAGTGTGGAGATGTTTGTTTGTTTGTGTTTTTAGATTTCTGAGTAAATATCACCAATGAACTATTTCGATTGAGAGGTAACCGGCTGAGGATGTTGTGATCAGTTTAATGTCTTTGTTAGGTCTTAAATAAAATATCATGGCATTCTGGCAAAGCCTATTTGTTCAAAATGCCCGTAAAATATTAGTAACATATTATTTTATATTTAACATAATTTCAACTTTAGGGTCCGTTATAACAATGATCGATGGAATTCTGAACATGAAAATTTACAAACTAATAAATCATTTAGGCAATTTTTTTATTAAATTTTACGTCAAGTCTAGCCGTACGTACATACTTATGAAATTATAACTATGTATTATTATTATTCATAAAGATAGTATACATAAGTAAGGCACAATGAACGAGTAATGAGTAGAGCTATAATAGGAAGCGAGTTGGCGACCCACGGGGAGCAAGTGCATATAGTTCTGATAGTTGTTCTTGCGAGTGTTCGCCGGCAGTGTGAATAGTCAGCGATCATCTATTCGTATGTGCATCTCTTTTCTTTACACGAAATGTACATAATATCTATTATACGTTTCTTGGGCCAGAAAATAGCTGATAGTTAGTCGTTTTCTCGTCGGCGGTGGGTCAAGAAGGTCCATATATCATGTATTAAAAGACTAAATAAATATCAAAATAATAACAAATTATAAATAGAAAAACGTCTTCAATATGTTACATTTTACCGGACGAAGACTCATAAATAACTAAAAATAATTAATTCATATTATCGATTAATTCACATTGTAAGTATTTATGCGACAATTTATTATCTATTTTTTATCGATAAAATTACCGCAGTGTGATAATTTTGTACTGAGATTTTTTTGTATCGATAGTTCGACCAACACTTTTGATAATAATATTATTATCGACAATATATATGATGAGTAAGACACATGCCCTTTCTTAAAGGGTATCTATTGAATTATTCGATATGCTGATACATATAATATTGTTCAAATTCCCAAATACAATTGAAGTGTAAGAAAATGTAAATAAAATTCTTTAATGTCTGCGATAAAATTTGCAATTTTCTTTCGTTTCAAAGAAATAAGTTTAGAAAGTCGTACAAGTGTAACTTTTCGAGATTTCATTCCATTAACTCGTTGTCATATCATCTGATCAATATCAACATAATAATTTCTATTACAAGTAGTTATTTCTAGAATAAGACCATGATTGTTGTATTTTCAAACGCCACTGTATGCACAAGTCAAACAAACAGACGAACAAAACAGAGTTAGTAAACACAAACCTTCGTAATTGCGAAACTGAAACATGATTAACGATGAATGAATTAGACGACTTTATTGATTCCTACTCAGTATGAGTTCAATCATCAACTACATTGGTATTTTACTGCCTCAGTAAATACGATTACTATCGATTCAATTCGAAATACCTAGTTGAGTTTCGAGTCTTCGAAATTAATTTTAGTATGAGTATTGAAATTCTAGTGGGCAATGTAATTCGCGTCATGTCTAGTGACAATTCTATTCTAGGCCTTGACCCGTGAAATGGAAAAAACGAGCAGTCTAATTATTATCAGAAGGTGCGCCGTCCATAGATATACACAAACAGAAGTTATTAAGTGCGTTGACCACGTTTAGTGGGAAGGGTGATTCGACCTCTCATGTCCTTATTCAGTTTCAAACACTAATTTCCTAATTTAAACTAATTTTCGCCTTCTATTCGTATACTTTAACTATGTATATCTTATATCGCAATTAATAGTCAGTCAAACAAATTAACCAAAATTTACAGGTTACTTACGTGATATACTTTTAAGTCTGGAAGAGTCTCGGCCTCATAGAAAACCTACGTGAAACAACGCTTGCGTTGTGTTTCGTCGTGTGAGTGAGGTTCCAGGTGTCCATGGGCAGCTCCAATTGCTTACCATCAGGTGATCAGTCCGATCGTTTACCGACTTATACCATAAAAAATACTGAGAAAAGCTCTACTAGTTTTGAGTCACAAAAGGTCTCTCTCTCACGAGCAGCGCGCACGGTCGCGGAGATATTGCGCAGCCTACTCAAACAAATTGTAACAATTCCCTTACCTTACAAACATGGCATTCGAAGCTCTTCTCATAGCAGCGGCCGCAGAGACTGTGTCCATCCACACACAGGTGGATGGGCGGCCGCATGTACGTGTTACATTTGGTACACGTCAGCTCCTTGATTAGGCCCTCGTAGTGATCCGTCTCGAGCAGCGTGTTTAGGACTACTGCAAGAGAAATGAGAATATTTAGTTCAATAAAGGTATGTACTTCATGACACTGGCCTTAGTGAAAGACTGAATTTCTAAAGATTTATACTATGACACCAATTACTATTTTACCTCTAATGCGACTCAATGAAGACAAAAACATTTTGTATCTCTGATTAGATTAATCTTATTTTCTTGTGAACACATCAAGCGAATCCAGAAAGACTTAAGATGTAACCAAAAAAGTCCATAATACGTGTATCTGGTAACCATCAACAAATAATACTTAAATCTCTAAAAAAGGCATCTAAACGAGCACAATTAGTTCCAAGAATATCTAAAGTGAAATTACCCCGAGATACAACTACAATATTAACAGTACCGACTACAATATTGTATATTGTAGGTACAACTGCAGTCTATAAACTCGACATGTTATTATCCAATGTAGTGTAAACCTGCTTTTGTATTATAAACATTCTGGAATACATACAGATAACTCAAGAATACGTATGTTTGCTTCGACTTGAGAGATAATTAGAGTCGCTGCTTCCGATTCGAAAATGGTTACCGAAGAGTTTCGTAAGGTGTTATGACAGGTGATGATAACGACGTAAACGATGACATAGTTTTCGTATTTTAAAGTATAGTAATGACCTTGTACAATATTACAATAATAAAGAACAACTGAACTTGAAAAGTAACACATATCTAACACTTTAATCGATTACAAACAAATCGTGTAGATAAATACAGCGTTATAGATAAATCTAAACAATATAATCACTAAACTATCAAAGAAGGAAAATATGCCTAAAAATTATTAAAATACACGACACTCCTTAAAATTTTGGGAATGGAAACAAATGAAGGAGCTTTTTCAGGTGAAGTGGTGGCAGTGATGACCACTAAAAGAAAAATTAGTTCATATTTTCTGAGAATGTGATAATTTACATAAAAGAAACCACGAGTAAAGCCGTAGTTCGAAATAAATCAGAACACATCGACAAAACAAACAAGCAACACACGGCGATTCAAACAGATTTACTAGAAATCCGAAATGATACATTACATGGTTGCCAATGGAAATCCGAAAATAAACATAAGTGGATATCAGAATCCGTCGATTCCAATATACGTAATCGAGTAGAAAATTACGAACATTTATTAGAAAGAAACTCTCACAATGATTTATTTAATCTCACAATCGCATTATGTGTACGATAATGAAAACGTATTGAGAAGAATATGTAATAATATATTTACTGAGATAATGATCATTAAAATTATACGAATGATGAAAGCAGTGTATGAGAAGCACTAATTATAACAGTACAATGGTTCACAAACAAAAATTTCTTCGTTATTGATTGGAATACGAAAGAATTGGAGAACGCCTATTCAGTAGTATTCGAGCTATTTAATACGGTATGATCGCATTCACAAGAACAAGGCAACCGAATAAAAATATGGATGGAAAAATGTGCATTTACATTTTCACGCTTGCCTCCGTTCGCAGAAATCCAATTGATATTTTAATGCACATTCCAGCTTTTATCTGCTTATCGATGATCGCAAATACATGAGATTGCATAGTTTGATAAATATTTTGATATAAAATTTAATAAATTTCATTCCAGAAATATAATGTACCCTATTACAGCTTCAAAATTAAAGGACTCGGAAAAGGACTTCAATAAGTAAACACTAAGAAGTCAATTTATACACAATTCACGAAATTAAACGACAACTGGCTGAATATTTGAACTGGACCGTCTGTATTTATAGTTTCTGAGCGTAATAATTAGAAAGACAGATGGGAGAGTTCGTGAGTTTATTGTTAGGAGTTCAAGGTTTTTAGACCAGACAAAACGAATTACCTCAGAAAATAGGAATGTAATACAGAAACACGTTTACCTTAATTTGTTGCAGCAAATGTATATAAAACAAGAACAAACTGTTTTTTTGGCAGCAAAGATATAGAAAAAAAAGGGAGTTTAAACAATACCCGTCTCAGTTGTGCAAAAAGCAGCGCTGTTACTGACACACGTCAAACCTATCGAATCACTTTTCAAATCGAACACAGTTGTACACTATACCAATCATAATAACGTAACTACAGCACTTATTACCACACACAATACACGCTACTAATATAAAACACTAACTTTTTTTCACAGCCGGCGACGACGTGGATGACATTCTGAAAATAACGTTGTGCGCCACAACAAACGTAACTAATACGCGTCCAATACTGTTTTATACTTGGTAAACACTTTTTGATTCACGCGTACTGATGTAAAGCGATTAGAACGTAATCGTTTAGCCATTTTCTTTGATAAGACAAGTAGTATCTGAAGCGTGATTGTGGTAACTCGGTTTGTTGTTGGCGACACTGAACAAGTCTATATTTATGCGGCAAGGTCGCAACTAAGGGCCGCAGTGGCGAATACAGCTGACCAACTGCGCTCCGGCTAGTCGTGCATCTATAGAGAAACTAAAATTGAATGAATTTGTGTTGATTTATTGATGGCACAATATTGAATAATAATTCAAAATATTTACATGGTGCGTCATTATGAATTGATTGCTGTTTTTGATAGTGATTGTGTTCAGTTTGTTGATACATGTTTTTGATTATTTGATTATGAATTAGTATCATTTAATATATTCGCAAAGATAGGAGGAAGGTATTATCTTACTTGTTTTTCATAATTGGTATTATTTACCTTTAAAATTTTAGACATATCCAGTATTTTTCAAAATAAACAAACACGTATTAGAATATTTGTAATACGCACGTATTACAAATATTTTAATTTCGTTCCATTATTTACTAGCTTGATGTCGCAAGTGAAATTTGTGTGGATGGGCGACTACGTTTAAATTAACGAAATGGATACGTCAGTCGTGTAAAGCACTTCATTTTCACCGTGACGCGTTTCCAAACATTCATAATTATGTTATGTCGGTTGTTTTACGTAGGTATCGATAAAACACGGAAACCTTTATCCTGATAACAGACTATCACGAACTACTGCATTGAATTTACGTTAATCGATTATCTGATTACCTCATTATATTTTTGTCTAAAGTATTATTAAAATCACTTATTCGAAATCACAATTATTATTACACTCACTTTTTTGCACTCGAATTGATTTGTTCAAAACATCAACCCAACTGTTGAACTAGGCGTGTTTTGTGTTTCACTGCCAAAATTGATCTCAGTCGTGCACTATTAGAACATTTCAATTAGTTCTTGCTAGTAACAAAAACAGTGACTTACGATACGTACGTCCCTATTTGTTTATATTAAAAAGGCATCGGTACTGACATCGGTTAACAATCTAAAAACTTTCTTTAATCAATTTTAAACTTTAGCATTTTCTAACAAAGCTGGAAATCTATTGAACATGTTTCATAGTTTGGGGTAGTTAGTCTAGATGTACAAGTCTGTAGGTACTGTATATTTCTATCTGTTTTTATTTATATGAAATTGGAACAGACGGAAAAATACATTACTATTCACAAAATACTAAAGTTGCAATTTATAATTTACCTGCAGATCCAGTAGTCTCTCCCATATTTACACAAACACTCTATAATTAATCTATTTGTTTTTAAGATAAAAAAAAACAAGCGCTGTCAATGTGTTGACAGCCAACTGAATAGAACAAATGGTCAATTTTATTTTTTACGGTGAATATAAGTAAGCAATTAGATGACGTGATTACCGCATAATATAGTACAAGTAATTCTTAGATAACACTAAAAATATCAAGCCTTGTAATAATTATTATCTGATGTCTTCAATAGATTAAATTGCTCAAGACGCCGGAACAATTTTGGTTAGATTGTTTAATCATGATCTGAGACCCAGAGAGAGAGAGAGAGAAAATACAATTTTTTGTAATGATGAAAATGCTAATAATTTTACGTGTCTTATTAAGTGCCAAACTGATATAAATTAGTTGGAATTCATGACTAGGATACTTTAAGCAAGTCACGAGACTCATTTTACACCATATTTCCCAATCTTAAGAAATTTTTGATCAGCACTTAGATTACAAATTCACTCTACCGTGCACTGGTTTAGATACATCATATAAGAACAATACTTTTTCTCGACCTGGGAATGTGAATCTACGTTTAATTAATTTGGGCAGAAAGCTGCTGCTGCTGCTATTTTAACTTGAAGAATAAGGCTTATGTCAATGTTATGCGTTAGTAAATAATATCAAAGACACGGTAAAAATTTAATAATAGCTATCGCGATACATTTAATGTTTTTACAAAAACCCCAAAATTTTTTGCGAATTGCTCGACTAATTTCAAGTCAAATCGTGGCCCATAATTACTCGTTTCATTGTCGGTGACAAATATCTCTAGAACATCAATAAACATACACGTGAGGACGCGTGAGTATTAATATTCAATGGACATTTAATTGGAACAAGATTTACCTTTACTTATTTGTTTTGACGAAGACCAATTACTAGTGTTAATTTGAAAACTTTAGGTCAATTAAGATAGGTATTATAACATCGTTACTCTATTAGCAACAGTTCAATTCACACTGAGTAATCAGATAACTGTAATTGCCTTTGTTAATAAATATTTGTGTATTTCGATGAGTTTATAGCACCTGGGTGGTTAGAAATTAAATGATTACATTAAGAGTAAAACATAATGCTTTGTTTTAGATCGTTAATTTATAATAGGTACCTATTTTCTTTTTACGAGGGAGATTATATTACTGCCATAGTCGGTAGTCCTTAATTTATGCCGTTTAATACAGAGGTAAACACATAATTTCTTTAGTTTTTCCATAATGCATGCAATTGTAGAATATAAGATTTTTGTCTGAGAATATGATAGTTCAATCCAGTATGGAAACAACAGTAGACTTGCGATTTGTAAAGATTAAATGACATACAAATTATATTTTATTTAACTGGCTACACCGTGACCTTTCAACTTTGTAAAGAGGGACCATTCTTAGCATTGTTTTTATAAAACCAGCCAAGCTTTATTTTGTCAAGACATGTAATAGCCAAATAGTACAGGGAATGTATAAGAAAAATTTCCTAAAAACGCCGACAAGGTGATGATAGAAAAGAAGTTTTATTTTCATACAAGTAAGGTATTAAATATTTCTTATATGTAACTAGCGATCCGCCCCTGCTTCGCACGGGTGCAATATGCACGTATTATACAATTTATAATTATAACCTTCCTTAAGAATCACTCTATTTATTAAAAAGACCGCATCAAAATCCGTTGCATAGTTTTAAAGATCTAAGCATACACAGGGACAGACAGACGGTGGATAGCGACTTTGTTTCATACTACGTAGTGATAATAGTTGTAATCAGCTGTTCAAGGCTGATGATGCTGCATAAAAAACACGAAAACAAAAACGCTTAAAATTGTAAAAAACTATTCCTTTTTTTAGCGATTCGGGAGCGTTTCATTTACATCCGTTTATAGCACTATAGCACATAGCATATAGCACATATAGCACAGAATAGATAAATAAATAGACACTAATACTGTCGCTCAGTAACAACAGCGTTACATTTCGCATTTAGTTCCGTTCTATTTAGAGGCATCCCTAATTGGACGGTTTTAACTCCATCAGACCCAAACACCGTGCATGTACCTACACTGTAAATTGCTAATTTAACTGCAGAACGTGTATTGAAAGTGGTGTACAGTCTATGCGTTTTCATGTGGATTATGCAGCGTTAATGCCTAATGGAATTCATGGCGATTTAGAGGTGTAGCAACTCTTAGGTGGCAAATTTATTCTATTGGAATTAATGCATGTGTTTACATGTTATTTAAAAATTAAGGTAACTACATTCTTTATATTTTAAAATTGTGTTCTGGCTTCTCATTAACAGCTTCTTCTACTATTTCCCTATGGTTGACGGTCAGAGAATCCCTTAACATATTAAGTCCTCCATTCACTTTTGATTCTATTTTCATCTTTGCATCTTAACTAAGTGTGGGAGAGCCATGCTTCGGCACGAATGGGCCGGCTCGACCGGAGTGATACCACGGTCTCACAGAAAACCGACGTGAAGCAACGCTTGCGTTGTGTTTCATCGTGTGAGTGAGGTTACCGGAGGCCTAATTACCTTCCCCTTCCCCAATCTCTCCAATCCCTGAATCCCCAACGATCCTCAAACTCCCAATCCCGAAAAGGCCGGTAACACACTTGTAACGCCTCTGGTGTTCCAGGTGTCCATGGGCGACGCCGATTGCTTACCATCAGGTGATCAGTCTGCTCGTTTACCGGCTTATGCCATAAAAAAACTTTTGTTTAACCAATATGAAATCATACCACATAACAGGGTCTTTGACTACTGTTACAAAAAGCACCTTAAATACAGACCTTTAACTCCCTAATTTGCGTGTAAAATGAAGCGGCAAGCCATCAACTGACTTACAGTTTAACCCTACGATAAATTATTCGTTGTAATTCGTGGCTTTCTATATCAATCAGGAAGAGAACCGGTCAGTTCTAATTGGGGTACAAATGTCCAGTCATTCCTCTTATTGGATACCCCTTACTAATTTCACGGGTATAGTTCAAGATGTTCTAAATAGTTTTATCAAATACTCCTCGGTATTTAGGTCGAATAGTCGCCTATCTATCAACGTACTCGGTCTTAGTGATAATGAAAGTAATGTCTGTTTATTGTTTGTTTGATGTCTTGAACATTTTGTTTATTTGTTTGGGTCGATAGATGTTGCTCTGTTTCGATCTTTGAATCCTAGACACATGAATAATAAAATTATTCGTGTCTTTCTATTATTTAGATAAAAACAATTGAAGCATTAGGTTTCATAATCTATACATACAGGCTGTCCCTGAAATCGACGATCAAATGGCACCAGGTGATCGGCAGGTGATAGTTATCAGAAAAATATTATAACAATCTAAGTTATATAGTTTTTAAATTACAATGACTTATGTGTAATCAACGAAAAAGTACACCCTGTGCCAGTCTTTCGACCCTTGCTGCTACAATTCTTTATTTTTTCGTTTGTATTTTTGGTTACGTTTTCTGAATAGTGCTCCAGTATTATCGAATCATAAATTCTGAGCCAACTACTCTAGTTTGGATGATTAATGTCGTTTTTTGACGAACCAGGTGTTCTTAATAAAATTTTCACATTCCTTTAATAGACTGTACTGCAAAAAGTGTACTGGGCTAGTAGTGGCAAATTTCACCAAAGTTGTCGCATTTAATAAGGATTCTAAAATGGTATACCACTCTCTACATTATTTCTTAAATTCGACACATTTTTTTTTATTATACTTTATACTTTATAGGTCGACGTTTGACCACCATCTCGCCTGATGGTAAGCGATGATGTGGCCGACGATGGAGCACGCCTACCTATGAGCAACCTGTTAACTCGGGACTTGAAGACACTCAAGTCATATTTGACGGGAAACACAGCCTCTGGCAAGGAATTCCATTCCTTAGCGGTTTGGTGGAAACCTCCGTTTCGAACAATTTATTTGGACTTACTAAAATTTATTCTAGTGGAACCATAGGGGGTGACACTTTGCGCGTGACATGACATCATTTTACTGAACATGATGAAATTCTCTTGTTAAATCACATCGTCTATCTACTCATGATTTTGCTAGTAGCATTCGGCGACAATATTCGAGTTTAGAGTGTGGGAGAGCCATGCTTCGGCACGAATGGGCCGGTTCGACTGGAGTACCACGGCCTCACGAAAACCGACGTGAAGCAAGAACGCGTTGTGTTTCGTCATGTGAGTGAGGTCACCGGAGGTCCAATTACCCAAGAAGGGAAGAAGAAGGGGAAGAGGAGGGGTCCTCTTCCCCAATCTTGCCAATCCCTGAATCCCCAACGGTCCTCCAACTCCTAATCCCCAAAAGGCCGGTAACACACTTGTAACGCTTCTGGTGTTTCAGGTGTCCATGGGCGACGCCGATTGTTGATTGTGATGTTACCATCAGGTGATTCGTCTGCTAGTTTTCTGGCTTATGTCATAAAAAAATCATTATTCACAACTTTGTGAGTTTATGTAACCACTGATTAAGTAAAAGAAAACACTTTACCAGCAAAACGAAACACACTTTTTTCTATGCTAACTAACACTAACTATACAAAATACTGGTTGCAAATCGGATAACTTCCTTTTATTAAACAAATTTAAATTATTAGTTATC